AGCATTAAAAAAACAGAGGTTTAAATGAAAGAAGAGAGACCCACGTTCAAGATAAAATATATTAAAAAGGAAATAAAAATATTTAGAGAATATTTACTTTCAGATTTTGCTAGATTTTCGGATGGTGGCTCATAAACCGTTGGTAGAAGATACATTCTACCAAATTTTCCATTAGTTTAACCCTGTGTTTGAAATTTCGCTAGGCGCTAGTCGGGCGGCTGTTTCACGCATAGCGAGTTATCGAAAAATCGGGGATTAATCGGGGAGTACTCGGGGCCTAGTTTTTGTAGTTTTATTGTATGGAATATGTATATATGAATTAACAGATGCATAATTAAACAAGCTTCTCGCCGTCTCATAGTGGTTCACTACCTTGAACATTCGTCACGCCACCCGACTTTGACGCCTACGTTGTGCATAAATTATTTTCGCTTTATTAATCCCTGATAGCCAGAGTCCCACATCGGTTAGAATTAGAAAATGAGGTGAAATCTGGTCCTATATATTGCCATACATGCTAAGGAATCTGATAAGTAGTTGGGCTTCTTGCCAAGCCCGAAAGTATTGTTATAATTAAAAAGTTAATATTTTTTGTATGGGCCGATTAGTCGGTTGTTAGGCCGATTAATCGAACATTGGGCCGATTTTTGTGCTTAATGGGCCGAGTTTTTAAGTTGCGATTTTGTTATCCGATTAGGGTAAAATCGCATCGGAGGTGGTCTGAGTAACGACTAGCCGGGCGCCTAGGCGGCTATGCGCCCGAGTTTTAGAACACGGGTTTAACCAGTGGAAACGTAATCCCACGGGCCTAGACAAAACATTAAAATTAAGAAGATATGTTTTGCCAAGGTAGACGCATGGGTCTTTATTATATGTTATGTTCTACTAAAATTGCATAACAAAGAAGGAATGTCAGTTATCATATTCTTCAATCGTAGATGTATATGTTTTTGGTGTATTACGCATTCTAAGCCCTTTAGATGGATTAGTTGTTAGTAGATTGTACACTCTAAACAGCCGTAGATGGTAGATCTGATTTACTACCCGATTTACTATTCCAAACATTTTTCGAATCTAAAAATATTTTTCATATATTCACATGCTACTCTATTTCATATTGTATATTTTTCCTCAATTTGTTACCTTGTAAATTTTTTACTTTGAATTTTTATATACAAAAAGGGTAGTGAAGGTCCAAAAGTACCAAAATTTGATTTTATTTTAAGGGGACAATAGTTGTGTTTTTCGATCATTTTTTGGCAAATTTCCCTTTTTTTGTCTTCTGGAATTTATTAAAGGGTCAAATCCCATATTAACATTTCTTTTGTAAATCAAAGGACTTTATAGTAATATTTATTCAAATTAAAATATTAATATTATTAAAATAGAAGTACAAAAATGAAATATTGCTTAGTTTTTCAATTTATTTACAATGACATGTCAATGAAATTATTAATTAACCTAAATTTTATGGTTTTATGATTCTATGCTTCTTTGTCTTTTAATGTTTAATTAATACATATCCAAAATCAAATTAAACTAAAAAACATGACAACAATAATTAGAAAACTTAACTTTTAGTATTCTTTATTTTTTTTTATTAATGTTTAACTAGATTTTGATATGCGCATTGAGAACACAGCATTTTCTTTGAATTGTATACAACGTTTGTGAATTAGTATTTCAAAATTTTTGTACATTACTATGTTACAAAATCATATGATACCGAAGAAGATAATTCATTTCAGTTATATAATTCATGAATTAGTTTATTAAGATTTTGTATATACACTCTTTATAACTTTCTCTTAGACATGAACATTTCACCAAACTCGGAAAAAAAACTGAAATCTACCTGGAAATATAGGTGCAGTTTGGGTCCATGTTTACATATTAAATCTTTTTTGGACCCGCATGTCTTTTTCGAGTCAAGGTTATACTCGAGACCTAATCGTGTACCCACGTACCTGAAATGTTTTATGTATATTTGAGTATTTTAGATATGTTTTTGGCATTACAAATACTTTTAAATTTTTGGGTTCAGGTTTTTTATTTTAATTTCAGGTAAAATTGCAATTAAAAAGTATTTTGGGTATTCGGACAATTGGCTTTTTCAAATCAGAACATATCGGTTCATTTTGGATCTTTTGGGTATTTAAAGATTTTCGGGTATTTATTTGAGGTTTTGGGTATATTTTTTGTGTTTCAATATTGGGGGGGGGGGAGGTTAGTTATATCAAATCTTTTTTTAGTCCTAAATAATCAAACCAGTCCAGACCTATTACGTACCCATATATTACAGAAATTTTATAGATATTTAAATTATGGATTATGGTTAGTAACTCATCAAATGACATTCCACGCCTTGTTGTTTCTTCAAGAATCCCATACAAATCAAGATCCTCAGTACCGAGCCGTTTATTGAGTTCCTCGTTCCATATATTTGCAGCATATGTAGGTTGTACATGAGTCCACATAGACATGACAGTAATAACCTGAAAGTTTCAATGTCACTTATTTATACCAAAAAGGTATTAAAACTGCATCCATAAGAGATCAAGAAACTTGACACTGACCAAAGATATTCAGAAAGCCTATCTCCAATAGCACTACTTGAGTTCTCAGAGATTCATCGAACCAACAACCCACGTAGGATCTAAATGGAGGCGATATACATTTAGAGGCCGACCTAAATCAAAACACAGAACTAAAATAGTCAAATACTTTCAAAAATCAACAGACCCAATGTGTGACCAAAGTGAAATGATCATATTAGAAGCTGTTAAAGAAGCAATCCAAGCTATGGTACTGAGAATCCTTGCTATGATTTCCAGAGCACAGCATCTGTCCATTAAAATCTTAGCTTTTGTTTTCTCCTAGCTACAAACAGAAAATAATAAAAATTGTATTTATAAACAAACATATAATACTACCAAAATAAGTTCCTTTTTGTATGTATAGATTCTTTTGTATGCGGTGGGTTTTGATTTCCGGTATGTGGAGTAATTGACGGAGAGACTGGAATACTATGGTGATGCTTGAGGATTTAGGGATTTGATGTGGAGAGGGAGACAGACAGTCTATAATTAAAAGATGCAAGTGAAGACGAAAATAAAAGTGAAGAGACGATTGGTTTGAACGGAGTTCAATCTTTCATCGGCTTGTTTAAGAAGAAACTAGATCTCAACCCGCACAACCGTGCGAGTATTTTAATACGAAAATATTTGAAGTTATATAATACTCCATCCATTAATTTTTAACAATGATACAAAACATCATATATTAAGAAATGGAGAGGGTAAAATTAATCAATAAATAAATATAATTTGATTATGTATACTATCCAACTTTATAATAATATTTATGTGGCTTACAATATTATTAGTATAAAATTTATAAATTTGTGTTTTTGTAACAATTTTTAAAACATTTTATGTAACATTACTAATTTATATATTTTGTTTTATTTCTAAATTTGATATATATATAGTAAATTAAGTTGGACCTACATAATACATAAACAAAATTTTGGGATATTTTTAAAAGTATTTTACATAATTTTAATTTTTTTGTTTATAAATAAAAAATGAATTAAAATTTTAATTATATTTTATGATAATTAAATTTTAATCAAATAATTTTTGAAACTCTATCTTGAAAAGATTCTAAAAGATTTTTTAGAATATTCTTAAAATTATTTATTTGTATTTCAAATAAAAATAAAATATATGAAAAGATATTATAATGGTATTATGTAAAATTTTATAAAATCTCTAAAAGTTGTCCAAATTAAAAAAATCACACATGAAGTGAATCATGACTTCTCTTTTAATATAATAGATAGGTAGGTGGAGCTGATGTGGCAATTTAAAGCTTTGTAATATGTTGATTTTTAACTGACGTGGACGCGCTTAGAGAGTTTGATATCCTGCTTTTAGTATAGTTAAATATGTTTAAATATTATGTACATTTAGATTGAGATTTTTGAAGGGTTCAAAATTGATTTCTAAAGGGTTCAAAATTGATTTCTAAAGGATTCCATATATTTTCAAGAAAGGTGTTCGAATAATTCTGAATTCTTAAAAAAATAATTATGAGCCCTTAAATCATTCAGAAAATATTGTAATTGTTTATAAACTATTCAGAAAAATATTTTTAACTCTTCAAAAAATATTTTTTAACCCATCAACAATAATTCTGCAGTGTTAGAATTCAATTCTATATCATTCATAAAAAAATATCACACACCCAACTCTACAAATTTCTGTTTGTGCAAACGAGGAGGCTCCGTGTTCCACAAGAAACAGACGTTTGTGGCTGTAACCGGCATACCGGTTCTCGTTGAGAGTTCCTGGAGAAATCCCTTTTCAGAGGTTGTGGCGCTGAAAAGGTTAGTCATAGTCGATGGGGTTCATTTGCTAAGCCTCTTGGCTCCATTTCACTTCAACTGGTCAGCTTTTAGGCTTTGCCTTTGGCTCATTGTGATCTTTGGAAGCTGCGTCCCCTTGTCTTATCGTAGGAATATTTCTCACCGCAGTTCCGATCTACCAAAATGGCTCGATTATCTATTTTCTTATGGCGGAGTTCTTTCTTTCTAGGTTTCACACAATTTAAATACAATGCCAAAATACCCTCTTTAATATTAGAAGAAATTTTTTTAGGATAGACCTAAAAAATTTTTGTCACATATAAAATTTAAAAATAAAAATAAAAATAAATTTAAATATTTTATCAAAAATAAGTAAATATACACTTATACCTTTTGGTTAACTAATCCTATATCTTTTTGTTTAGAGTTGAGGAGTGAGATTTCGGAGATAGAGTTTCAATTTTTTTTAAAAAAAAAACTTCAAATTTTCAAAATAAAAAATAATGTTTTGGTCATTTTAGTTTTTAAAATCTATTTTTGTAATAAAAATTTGGATGCAGTGTGGTGGGTATGAGAATGCAAATGACCTTGTGAGGGAGCCCTTCTATAGGTTTCTTCACCGAACCTTCGTTGGGCATGGCTTATGCGCTTCTCCTGTATGTATGTGGAGGCATGCCTTTCTTGTTTGGGGAATTGTAAGGAGTCTAAGGACATGCATATACTCTTTTGATTTCACTTATAGTACAAAATTACTATTATTGTGATAAATATTTGATATAGTGATATCAATGAGTTTAAATTTTTTTACTCATATTAAACATATAATAAATATTTTTTAAAAAATATTTATACATTTATTGTTTCTAACATTATAATAACTATCACTTAATTATATTTAATTAGTTTATTTTTTTATAAATGTTTTAAAATATAGAATTATTAATATAGACACACCTGATACGCTCTAATAGGCAACAATAGATTTCCCAAACTAAAAACTTTTTTATCAAAAAAAAATATACTTACAAAAATATAAAAGAAGAAATTAATTTATGAGAGAGTTGACAATGGCAGGGTGTGGCAACTGTGGCTCGACTTCACCTGACCTTTTTGGGGACCTCAGTTAGCCATATATGGGGAACACGAGCTTGGAACACACCTGACTTATCTAAAAACAATTGGTAGTAATGTCTATAAATAGAAATCCATGGGAATAGTTTTTTTTGAACCTTTACATAGGAAGAGTTTCACTAAATGATAATAGTAAACTGGTTATGAATCAGGTGGGTATCGATTTTAACACTTGGCGAGGGTTGGCATAACAATCATCATGCGTTCCAGTTCTCGGCTAGGCATGGACTCGAGTGGTGGCAGCTCGACGTTACTTGGTATCTCATTAGGTTTCTGGAGGCTATTGGTTTGGCAACGAACGTAAAGTTACCTACTGAAACTCAAAAGAAGAGAATGGCTTTGGTCTGATCCTTCCCTGCATAAATCATCTTGTAGAATTTGAATACTTCTCTCAAACTTTGTCCCTCCTACATCTTCTACTGCGAATAAACCTAAAGTTTTTTTCAATCGATCCAACTTTGGTGTGCCTCTTTAAACACTAACATTATTAACATCACAAAATAAAAAATGGTATCTCTAACGCATAAATGTAGGGAACTTTAAACTAACATTGTATGTGACAAACTACTTATGATTATGAAATTAAAATTTCTGTAATTAGAATGAACACAATAGGAAAACAAACAAAGAATGATGAAAAATTCATGTTCTGTTTGGCCAAGGTGTCCACGGCAATTCTAGATACTCAACTGGTTTGAGTTTTGGAAACACGGTTTTGAAATCCCATTCAAGGCCTCTAAACAAGATCCCTTTTGGTGTCGCTTCATGAGCACATGATGATTTAGGACACATCTCAGCGACGCGTCGAGATAAGTGTTTTCAATCACGAGTGTGGCGGTTCCCAAGGCGGACCGGACATGGCAGATATGAATCGCCGGTATCTTGCTTTCTCCCTTTATGAGAATTATTGGGAATGAAAACTGAGTTCCTGGTTTTGTAGATCGATGCCAACCATAGTCTTTGCGTTTAGACTGGCATCGATAGACGATTTCCGGGCGGATTAGCCCGGTCATTGCATTACGGATTGTTACGTTCATGTTTACGTAGTCAGGTTCCTTGAGAGCCACGGTGTTGAATGAGATCATGATGGCTTGTAAAACAAGACACCACCGAGTTAGGGTTTTGATGACGTTGTTGCTAACATCCATTTCTTTGCATTACGGATTGTTATGTTTATTTTTATGTTCTCTATCGTAAGTTAGTTTCTTTTTCATAAATATATGTGAAGTACCATGATCTACCTGAAACAGAAACTGCTAAACATCTGTTCCATTTTTTTCTATTTGGAATGAAACAAACTAACAACAAACGGTTCTTTTTTTCCTGTCACGTACAGAAAAATGGTTACACATGCTAAAATTGAAGATTAGTTTTAGCTCTTTTTTTTAATGATGATTTATTATAATCTTATGATTATGAAAATATTACCTAGAGAATTCCACAACCGACGATCAACAAACAGAGAAGAAACTACTAATTTCTATCATCTAATCAAAATGTATGTATTGACATTGACTTACTACGAGTGCGGAGGCTATTAAGTTAGGACGAAAATACTTAGCGATAATGAGTGTTAGAAGAAAAGTCACTAGTTCATCTTCCATTACTTGATTCCTATAATGGTCAATAGCCAAGGTCTTCCGCTTTATCATTCAAACACTCTTCCATTTCCAACGTGAAGCGCTTTATTGTTCCCTTCCAACATTTGTCACCGCGTCATTAATCATACTAGATACATATCCCCGCGCAAGCGCGGTGGTTGTATACGTTGTTGATGTGTTGTGTAGTTTTGTGTATGATATTTTGCTGTTTTTTATAACATTTATTTATCTGACTTATCTATAATGATGATGAATGAAACATTAGAAGTCACACAACTTGATTAGTCTGATAAAAGAATAAACATCGAATTCATATGGGTTGATATTTTCATATTTTATCTTCGTAGTGATTTTATCGAGCATTCTCTTTATTAGTGATTTTATCAAGTATTACTGTTATTAGTGCTTTCATGTAAAAAAATAATTTAATAGACATAAGACAAAAAATGACATGTGTTTATTAGTGTAATTTTCTTTCTGAAATTATATTGTATATATATATTTTTTTTTTTAATTGTGATGTATATGAGATTTATGGCCGATCTGAATGGTTTGGGATAAATATTTATCATTGGAAAAATATGTTTTTATTTTATTTGATGATTATAATTGAATTGAAATGATATTGGAGGTTAGAACATGATAACCTTTCTTATAAAAGTATCTAAGATGGTCTCATAAAGTTTCAAATCCTTAAGCCATTTTGTATCCCAACAACCAGCATAAAAAAATCATTATGAATCTCCCTAAGCTTTTAGGTATCCCGGAAAGTCCAAATTAAAAAATATAATTGCATGCAAGCACTGCGTTTCGAACCCGTGCACTCGAGGTACCAACTTCTCATCACCAATGTACACCACTGGGCCATTTCATCACTCATCAATAACATTCAATCTTACAAAATATATACGTTTTTGTTTTCCCTATTAACACGTGTGGAACCCGTAAATTTACTGACGTGAACACGCTGAAGAGCTTCAAAAGTGTATTATTATTATATAGATTTTCCATTGGCTAAATGTCACGTCGTGGTTTGTTGATATCAACTCTTGGACGACCGGCATTAGAAGAAACTACTAAATTTTCCAACACTACATCTTATCAACTATTTTGTGTTGACATTGACTTACTACGAGTGTCAAGGTAATTACTCCTCTCTCTTTTATCATATTAAGTGAATTAAGTGACGTTTTAGATTCGTGTATACAAATTTAAAAAACTAATTTTTTTTTACATATTTTTATATAAAAATATACTCTATAAACATAACAAAATTTTAACTAATAGAAAAAATAAATTACTTTAATAAATTTTGTATTAAAAACCAAAAATGATATTTATTTTGTAACTAAAGATTTTTCTAAAGCTATACTTAATATGAAATAGATGGAGTATTAACTTAGAATGAAATTTTGGTTTGAGAGATATATATTAAGTGTTTGTAGAAAAGTCACTCGTTTATCTTCCATCATCTTTAATATATTATCTCCAAGAAATGTTGAATATTACTGTTCCACCTCAAAAAGCCTATTTAAACGGATACGATCGGTTGATTACCCTCACACTTACACAATGGTTTCTCTATCGCATTCATACAAATCACTACCTCCTTTTTCTTCAGCGACACTGGCCACAAAACCACGATCAAAACACAACCCTAACAATCTCATCTTCTTTTCTCAAAATAAACCTAACTCAAAACTCCATTTTCCCAAAAGATTAGTTGTTTCTTGCAAGAAACCAACCTTCACTGCCGATGATGTACTGAGAGAAACAACCATAACGGAGGATGGCTACCGGAATAAACCCTTTTCGGAAGGTGTGACAAAGAAGCGAGCCTTTTGGGAAAGGAAATGGAACTATTGGGATGTGAGTAGAGCAACAGGGATACTTGGTGTTCATCTTCTCAGCCTCTATGCACCTTTTCACTTCAACTGGTCGGCTTTTCGAGTAGCGGTTGGTCTCAGTGTCATTGCTGGAACCGGAATCACGTTGTCCTATCACAGGAATCTATCACACCGGAGTTTTGTTCTGCCTAAATGGCTAGAATATATCTTTGCTTGGTGTGGCACACTTGCTTTTCAGGTTTAAAAGTTAAACAAGGGTTTTTAAAGCTAGAGTTTATTGTGAGCATATAACTTAATGTTAGATTGGTTATATATGTACAGGGAGATCCAGTAGAGTGGGTGAGCAACCATCGTTACCATCACCAATACAGTGATACAGATCGTGATCCTCATACTCCTCGCCATGGTTTTTGGTTTAGCTACTTCCTATGGATCTTTGACACTGGTTCTATTCTCCAAAATGTAATTAACTAGTATTTCTCTCATCAGTTGAAATAAAGAAGTAGGTCTAAATCATGAGTTGTAATATATATACAGTGTGGAGGGGAAGAGAACGCAGCCGATTTGGTGAGACAGCCTTTTTATAGGTTTCTGCAAAGAACATGGATTTTGAACAACCTTGCACTTTCTCTTCTCCTTTACATTGTTGGTGGCTTTCCTTTCCTCGTATGGGGAGTGGTAACTTTATTATTTTCTCCTTTTTTTAATTCTTGTATCAATAAATAGTGACTCTTAAATATTTATAAAAATTATCTGTGACAGGGAGTAAGAACTGTATTCGTGTTACATTCCACATTTCTGATGACAGCAGCCTCGCATACATGGGGAACGCAGCCATGGAAAACTGGAGATCTCTCGAAGAACACTTGGTAAGAAGTAATTAATAAACACTGCTATATATAGATGTTAATTATGTTTTATACTTTTGAGGTGTTACTGATATTAATGTCGCAAAATATTTGGAGGTGGCTGGCGATAGGAACGCTAGGGGAGAGCTGGCATAACAACCATCATGCATTCGAGTTCTCAGCTAGACATGGACTTGAGTGGTGGCAAATTGACATTACTTGGTACTTTATTCGGTTTCTACAAGCTCTTGGATTGGCCACAAATGTTAAGTTAGTTTCCGAAGCTCACAAACAGAAATTCAATGGTGATGGATAAATATTATATCTGTATAGTCAAGTCTTCACGTAAAAAAAAAAGTATTCATGTAAGAGAAGGGCTGCGTTTGAGGGAATACAATACTCTACTATCTATAAGTATTCCAGGTATCGGTCACCTCTGGTACTTTTCTTTAATATATTATCGACATGTTTTGTAATTGATCTTAATCTAAGTTGAGCATGGTCTTTTTATATTTATCGACGTGTTTGTAATAAAATGGATAATTTGGTCATAACTAATTTATGCTCAATTCTCACGTCAAGTACTTTGTTGCCCCCTTTCAACATTCATCGCCACGTCAACGATCGTATTTCTATGTGCGCCATATCGTTGCGTGCTCTTAACGTCACCTCTCACTTTGGAAACTAGGGTTGATTACGTTCCCATTTCAATGAAATAACCGGAAAATAGAGAAGAGGCTACCAATTTAGTAATTTCGAACACTATCATCTAGCCAACAAAGGTGTTTGTTGACCTTGACTAACTATGAGCAGGAGGTAACTTAAAATAGATATATTCATCAGTCAATTCCTTATTTGAAGAAAGTGAGTATGAAGAAAAGTCACTGGTTTATCTTCTCTCATCACTCACTTCCTTGTTTTCCACGCAACTTGGACTATCATTAGTCAAATAGCTTAGGTCTCTGCCTTGATCACTTTTGATCAACTTTTCCTCTTCAGTGTCTTCACCTCGTATGGTTCTTTAACCTATTCAAACGATTACGATCGATTGAATGCTCCGACTACTTCACACTCACGACATTGTTTCTTCTATCTATTTTACTCAAACCAATCTCTTTATTATTCTTCACATCTTTACACTTGTCCCAGAGCGACGATCAAAGCACAGTAACATAGAGATTTGTCATTGGTGTGGATTTAAGAACAGTAACATTTTTGAATTTTCTATTCAATCTTTATCTACAAACTATGAAATCTAAATAAACAGCCTGTTGGGAAGGAAAACACTATGATGATAAGACTAAACCCAAAAGAGACGATTTAAAAATAATGGAAGACACTACTGTTTCTATAATTTGGTCAATTACAAACTTTAAAAGTTGTTTTTGCTTATCTTTCCCTTAGGAAAATATAAAATCACGTGTCAATGGTAACAAATAAACGAATATACAAATTTACAGAACTAAAGAATATCATTGAATTTGTTAAGAATTGGGTTTGTTTATCCTGGATTATGAACAACTAAAGCAAAATAGACGAGAGCAAGTACACACACTTAGGGTCTCATGCATTTGACTAAAACATCCACAAATCTTTTGTACATGTTTTGCTTCATATACATCTTCTCAACCTTCTTACGTCCTTCGTTGCCTAGTTGTAGCCTTGTAGATTGGTTTCTAAGAAGAAACAAGAGATTCTGAGCTAACACTTTGTTACCTGGCCTCCCTACAGGATGTAGTAGCCCTGTCACATTGTGGTCCACTATCTCTTTCGTTCCTCCTGCGTCTGTTCCAAGCACCTGGTCCCATGAATTAAAAAAAAACAATGATTAGTATGAACAGGATTACATTTT